CAGGACACAACCATTATACTAGGCTGGAGAAGCTCTTGTGTGTATCTCTTATCTGTGGGAGTCTGGATTGCTGCCAATGTCTTGACTGTGAGTAATTACTGTGAATAAAGCATGGCTAACAGTAAGCTTGTGTCGGCGTGACTCACCGGTCGGAGGGGGGTGAGAACACGAGCCCTTCCCATGGGCCTGGGATAGGCAGAGGTGGCTGTGTGATGGTGTTAAGTTGTATTGTCGCAAAATGAAATTGACCGATGGCGATTTTGTCAATGCCAATAGTGTACAAGTGATGCTCCAGATGTTTTGGGATCGCACTCCAGGCATCTACCACTATTGGTAGTGAGATATATTTGAATATCAGTAGCTCGGGTTGGTTAGTTAAGCTGTTGAGTTTGAGCTCCGAGCTTGGCAATTTGGTTGCAAACGTTTCGTCACCATTCGTGGAGACATCGTCAGCTTGCTTTGAGTTGTGCTCATCTGCCAGTGCACTGGCCTTTAAGTACCTTTGTGTGACACTAATTGGTGTTGGTGTTGTTTGTTCAGACCAATGCTAATTTGCATCTCACGAAGACACTTAAAGGCCCGTATTCTGACAGACGAGCACAACTCATAGAACTGATGAGGTCTCCTCAAACATTGATGAAACGTTTGCAACCAAATTGCCAAGCCCAGAGCTCAAACCAACAGCCTTAACTATTGGTATTATCTTTGCATTGGTGTTATTATAGAATTATTATAAGTTCCCCCAAATCACAAAACTGCATCTCAACTGACTTTGGCCGTTGTTAACCCTAAAGTTGGCCAAACTGTGGCCATTTTTTTTGTTAAGTTTTCTCTAGGGAGGTTTCTCTTCTCAATGCTTCGGGCTACACAACCTGGAGCAAAGGGATATGGGAGAGGATGTAGAGATAGCTGGGGTGTTATAGCCTAAATAAAATTCTTTCCCCTGGGAATCAAGGACGTTGGTGCAGATGTTCAAAAGGAGGAGAGTGAGGTCACCTAGCAACTGGACTGTATGCTGATTGGACCAGACTCTGGGGGAAGTGACAAAGTTTTACTTTTAATTGGGCGTAAAATCAACAGGAACTTGGAGCTGGTTTTTCACCAAATCTGTGCCAATTAGATACGTCCCAATAAAATGTTCTTTGAGGAATTTGCCTGCTTCTGAGTTCTTATTGAATGGGATGTATTACTTGGAAACTTGATAGTCGTGTCATGCAGGGGAATTCACTAGAGAAAGAAATTATGTTTGGAAGGATTAGTGGTAAAAGGAAACCAAGCAGCCGAAGGTAAAACTCAAAAGGGGAAAAAAGGAAAAAACTTCGCGCCGAGGAGAGCCATGTATTTAGCTCCTTCTGGGCCGAAGACTGAGTTTAATCTGTGGAGTCAGAGGAGGGGTAGAGGTGTGGCCTCAAGATTTACCTCAGTCTCCAGGCAGATGGGCCATGACAACACCCAGCTGTGACTCATCCCACGCCCCACTTCGGAGACTGAAGAGGCTTTTAGAATCGCCCCATAGAATCGCCAAAAGTCGGACACGACTGAATGGATATGAACATCGTTGCAGGTACTCCTCCACTTACGACCATCATTGAGCCCAAAGTTTTTGTTGACAAGTGACGCATTTGTTCAATGAGCGTTGCCCCACTTTTACAACTTTTCTTGCCACCGTTGTTCAGTGAATCCCTGCAGTTGTTAAGTTGGCAGCACAGTTGTTAAGTGAATCTGGCTTCCCTATCAACTTTGCTCGTCAAAAGATCGCCAAAGGGGATTTTACCCTGAAGGGAACTCAATCCGGTGAAGTGGAATCCAAGCTGAAATAATGATGATGAATTTGCCTAGCACGCAGCCGAAATAATGATGAATTGGTCAAGTAACCAAGCTGAAATAATAATGATGAATTTGTGAAATAATAATGGTGAATTTGTGAAATAATGATGATGAATTTGTGAAATAATAATGATGGATTTGTGGAAATAATAATGATGAATCTGTCTAGTAACCTAGAGAGAATTATTTTGCGTCTCTTTAGGCTGGACTGAGTTAAAAAA